TTTATCTCCTCTACCTAATTATTGTATGTTCTGTTCATATGTTCTAGAAAAAGTCTATTTTTCCATTGTTAAAAGAAAAGAAAGAAAAGAAAAGAAAAGAAAAGAAGAAGAAAAGAAAAGAAAAGTATTTCCATTGTTATTAACAACATTACTGTATTAGCTACATACAATAACTTTCTACCAAATATTTTCAATCAATTTTAAACAGTAGTGAGACAGTATATACGCATATCTCACTCCATGTGTTATATCTATTTTGTCAAATATATGACCTATTCTCATATTTGATTTCTAATTCCAAAATAAATTCCCAGATATTTATCATCAATACCTTTACTTTAAAGAATGTCTTTAAATAAGCCATGACATATCCTATCACAATACTTTTCCGAGTCTATGAAACATGCGTATATTGATTAATATCCAGGCATCGCTCTGTGAGCTGGAAAAAAGTGACTACAGTCTCAAATAAGATTTAATAAGATTGAAATGGATTGCTCACGTCAGACTGACGTAAAATGAAAACTATGTGGGTTTAGGGATACAGAAGTTAATGGAAAAAGACATAGAGGAAAACCGACAAGATGTTGCAGAGGACTTAAGGGAAAAAGGTTTAAGGGAGAAAGTGAAAAAGATATGATGGACAGAAATGAGTGACAACGAAGAGTAAGTAACCGCTACCTTTAAAAAGGGAAAAACTAACGAAGTGGTGGAAGAATTACTGTGTGAATATATTTAAGTAAATACATAGCTACCTATGGAGGCGATTATAAAATATTTTAGAAAGTATCTTATATTAAAGAGGTTAGTCTTCGTAAGTGGGTATATTTATTTAAAAACCCTTAAAAGGGCTACATCAAAAAAACAAACGTTTTCGGACTAAACAATCTATCATCAGGTTTAAAATCGCCTAAAATAAGTATAAACCATTTAGTTAAAACAAACGTGGTTATGAAATTTTGACTATGGTTAAAAAGCAAAAATGGCTATACTTACTAGGTTAAAATGCCTGAGCCACCAAAAATACATGGGTAAAACCCTTTAAGTTACATATAGTTATAAAAGATTATACATCTTGTTGTTAAAAAACTGTGATGTTCAGTAATAAATTAAATATAACTTCAGGTAACATACATTGCAAAAATTGAGTTCCAGAGCCGGGGAGAAAACCTCTACGCACGGAGAACAGCTGGAAACTGATTTACAATATACCTATGAAAGGTGTCAAAAACAAAATGTCAATGTAACATAGAACTATATTAGTTATACCTAGTATTACTACAGCCAAAAGATTCAAAAATTATTTTTGATGATTTTAAATAAATTAATAACAGCAATATAGGTGTTGGGATTTAAAAATTTGGGTTATAATCGATGTGAAATCACCAATGGTGTTAAAGTCATGTTTAAGAGGTTGACATGTGTATTAGGCAACTTATGTTGCTTTTTGTCGTATGGAATATGGTCTAAAAGTTTATTTTATGTTAGATTAGCTTATATATATGAAAATTATCCTTTTATGTTTATCACATCTAGGACAGGTAAAAATTTTAATAGCAAATATTTAAAGCTAATATAAGACCTTGTATTTAGATGACTATTTCAGACTGTTGGTATGGTGAGAAATTAATAAAAACAAGTTTGGTAAATTGAAAATCTACAGGCTGATGAAATCAGAGTTATAACCTATGTGATAAATTTAAAATTGAAGAGGCTGAGCTCCTCAGAGACTTGATGAGAATAAAAGTAGAGGAAATGATTGAAGAAGGAGGGGATAGTTAAAGAAGAAAAGGAGTTAATCAACAATTAGAAATAATAAGGGTCCTTTATGCTTACAGCATCTAGCACCCTGAACAAAATGTATTTTAGTAGTAATAAATTCGGTTTGTAAAAACCTAAAATTTGATGTATAAGTGTGCTACTAAGTTGTTGACCAAGAGAAGGAGAGCAATGTTGGATAAGGATTTTTTAATAGGGGAAAAATATATGAATTTTGAAAAACAGTTAGATGATGTTTGAATTATTACTGACTTTAAAACTATTGAGTGCATGTTAGATATATGAGTTGACCAAGAAATAATGAAAGAAAAGAAAGGACAGGAATGTGATGTAGATGTGAAGGGTGAAGGAAATGATAAAATATTATGGTATGATAGATGTGGGTGATTATAAAGTTAACACTAGGGTCGAAAAGTAATAAGGGAAAGAAGTGGCAAAAGTTTAGAGACTGGTTGTTTGAAGAAGCACAAATAATATTAATTTTAATAAAATGTTAGATAAGGTTTGAGAGAATAAAGAGTTAAAAATATTGAGTACATGTTTGATAAATGAGTTGACCAAGAAATAATGAAAGAGAAAAGAATGGATAGGAATGTGATGTAGATGTGAAGAGTGGAGAAAATGTTGAAATATTTTGTTATTATAGATATGGATGGTTCTGAAGTTAACAATGGGGTAGAAAATTTTTGAGGTGAAGGTGTGGCAATATTGTAGAGGAAGATTGTTTAAAGAAACACACAAATTGTATAGGATCAAAGGTGTTGAAGTTTGTATAGGATAGACGGGCAAAGAAAGTAAGACAATATTGTGAAGCGTGGACTATGAGAAAAGTTGTCGATGTAAGGGTTGAAAGTCCCGGTTGAACGATATATGACGATTAACGCAATTTGGGCTACTTTGCTTTTCTTTAACTATTTCCAAGTCTACATATAGATCTAATTTTAGAAAAATTTTTGAGGGATATTATGTAACAAAGAGACGTCTTCTGGGATGTTGAGGGTATGTTTATGTTATGCAAGATGTTGTGAGAAGGTGGAAGTGTTCTCTTTTTTAGTGTGTTCTAAGGAACGGGAAGTTAGTGATCTACAGGTTCTACCTATATATGTAGCATCACAATCAGAGCACTGTAATTTATAAACACCACTACGATCCATGTAGTTGATGGGATCTTTTGTATTGGTTAAAAATTGTCCTATATTGTTCGGAACTTTGAAAGAAATGTGGGTGTTCTCAACAGATTAGGATATATCTAATATCTCAAGAAAGACGTTCTTGAAGATATGGTAAAGAAGCGTAATGTGGTTTGATGGTCAAGTCTCTGGGGAACGCAGTATCTCTCAAAAGTTTGAGTTGTCTCTTATTTATTAGTTTGTTAATGAGATGGGGGTCATACCCATTGTTGACTGCTATTTGCGTAAGGATGTTGAGTTCTGTATGGTAGTTAGATTGTGATAGTGGGATTGTTAATAGGCAATGAATGTAACTATGGAAGGCTGCATATTTGTGTGACATTGGATGGTTGGAAGATAAAGGTATGATATGGTCAGTTCCTCACATCCCTGTCCTTTCTTTTCTTTCATTATTTCTTGGTCAACTCATATATCTAACATGCACTCAATAGTTTTAAAGTCAGTAATCATTCGAACATCATCTACCTGTTTTCCAAATTCATGTATTTTTCCCCTATTAAAATATCCTTATCCAACATTGCTCACCTTCTCTTGGTCAACAACTTAGTAGCACACTTATACATCAAATTTTAGGGTTTTACAAACCAAATTTATTACTACTAAAATACATTTTGTTCAGGGTGCTAGATGCTGTAAGCATAAAGGACCCCTATTATCTCTAATTGTTGATTAACTCCTTTTCTCCTTTAACTATCCCCTCCTTCTTGAGTCATTTCCTCTACTTTTATTCTCATCAAGTCTCTGAGGAGCTCAGCCTCTTCAATTTTAAATTAATTACATAGGTTATAACTCTGATTTCTTTAGCCTGTAGATTTCCAATTTACCAAACTTGTTTTTATTAATTTCTCACCATACTAACAGTCTGAAATAGTCATCTAAATACAAAGTCTTATATTAGCTTCAAATATTTGCTATTAAAATTTTTACCTGTCCTAGATGTGATAAACATAAAAGGATAATTTTCATATATATATATATATATATATATATATATATATATATATATATATATATATATATATAAGCTAATTTAACATAAAATAAACTTTTAGACCATATTCCATACGACAACAAGCAACATAGGTTGCCTAATACAAAGGTCAACCTCTTAAACATGACTTTAACACCATTGGTGATTTCACATCGATTATAACCCAAATTTTTAAATCCCAACACCTATATTGCTGTTTTAATTTTTTTAAAATCATCAAAAATAATTTTTGAATCTTTTGGCTGTAGTAATACTAGGTATAACTAATATAGTTCTATGTTACATTGACATTTTGTTTTTGACACCTTTCATAGGTATATTGTAAATCAGTTTCCAGCTGTTCTCCGTGCGTATAGGTTTTCTCCCCGGCTCTGGAACTCAATTTTTGCAATGTATGTTATCTGAAGTCATATTTAATTTATTACTGAACATCACAGTTTTTTGACAACAAGATATATAATCTTTTATAACTATATGTAATTTAAAGGGTTTTAACCCATGTATTTTTGGTGGCTCAGGCATTTTAACCTAGTAAGTGTAGCCATTTTTGCTTTTTAACCATAGTCAAAATTTCATAACCACGTTTGTTTTAACTAAATGGTTTATACTTATTTTAGGCGATTTTAAACCTGATGATGGACTGTTTAGTCCGAAAACGTTTGGTTTTTTGATGTAGCCCTTTTAAGGGTTTTTAAATAAATATACCTACTTACGAAGACTAACCTCTTTTTTGTGATACGTGGTATACAGCCAGCTACAGGAATTGTTTTCCTTCTGGATTTTATCTTATATTGACCCGAGATTCTTCGGTGAATAAAATATTCTTTTGCATCAGCTTTCTTAGCCATTGTGATAAATGTGGAGAGCAGTAATTTTTGAGACATAATACCAATATTGTACATAGACATAGTGTTTAATAGGTGTAGAATATTATGTCGTTCAGAAGTTTTTTTTAGTTCTGTAGGGATTTTCTTCGAATTACAGATTTACATACGATGATAACTGACAGGGGATGCAAAAAGCAATAACTGCACATTTACCTTAATAAACAGTTTGGTTCCCAAAAAGTATATAGTACCAATGTCAATTTTTAAAGATCTCTGGGATCGTATCATTATCAATATAAGACTTTTTTTAGTAGATTCATCCAAATCGTACCATCCGTTAGAAAAAATACTTGATGCCAATTTTTTGCTCTGAAAAAAAAATACTAAAATAAATTATAATTCTTATGATGCCAAATATGTGTACTCTAGATAACGACAACAAGATTTCATGTCCGTGAATGTTCTCAATGAAAATCAACATATCGTACGAGCTAAATATATTTATACACATACAGGCAGTGACCAACCCTGTTCCTAAGGAACATGTGTATACCATTGTAAGAGTGGGATCCGCATGTCCAAAGATCAAACCGGTCACACTTCACTAGTTGAAGTGGTACCTATCTGACCCCCAGGCTTTTCCTTCACCCCTCCCCATCGTGTGACTTACGTGAGGAGGCTTATGATCTGAAAGTTACTTAAGATGCTTTTCTTCCTATTTACTTTACTGACTCTATAGAAGTTACTCTAACTTGACTTCGGGACTTAAGTCCTTGATTTTCTAATTTTTCCTTTTTTGAGAATGATTTCCAGATTGGAAGTCGAAACGTCAAAAACTACCAAAAATATAATTATCATAACCAATTATGGCTTAATCCCATCAACAATATCATTGTCAACATAAACATATTAAATAATCAATAAAATCATGATATTACAGTCCTTGTTAAAAAAAAAAACAAAAAATGGATTCAGGTATTTTTTTAGCCTTGTATCCAATTCAATTGAATTGGAATTGGTCACACTATTCATGTGGCATAATTCTAAATGAACTTTAATTTTGAGAGGCTTCTTTCAGCAGAGGCTGTACTAATTAGTATTGTTAATAACATTCTAATGACGACGTAAGTGTTTGGTTATATATTTTTTAAGTTATTATCTACAATGTATTGAAGCAATTCTTTCACGTCTGTTATAAAGTTAGGTAAATTAAGGATCATTATTTGTAATTCTTCATATAATTCGTAAGGTTTAAAGTCACTGCTCTCACCCACTCGTAGGAATGTGTGTAAATCTTGACAATTTTTTAATATTTGTTCACGTGGAATATTTTTTAATTTGCTTATATCATACAGAAAACCGAAATTTTTATGATGTTGATTTAAAGCCATAAATCTCAAATCCATATTGGTAATAATTAAATCCATCAGATTGTTAAAAAAATTTGATTTATACTGGTTTTTTGGACACTGTATATGTTGATTCTCGCCCTCATAATTAAAGACCCTTTTCTTTTTCGCGATTTTTTTGTTTTTAAATTCGTTCGGCAGCTTCGACAGCTTTTTTCAATAAATTATTGGACAGCAGAGCATTTTTCACATCCAGTTTGCTCATATTGTTTGATCCAGTCATAAAATGTATGTAAATGTTTAAGGGCAATGCTCAAATGGACTTGTACAGATTGCCATAGTTTGCTTATCACATTAGCACGCGATAACAATTTATACAATTCATGTAAAAATATTACAAATTCTAAATTTCTTTTACGGCTGAATCACAATTACTGAAAGTGTCTGATTGATTCTTCTTCTTAGTACCTTATCCGGTCCAGATGTTGGCAATCATCAAAGCTATCATGGTTTTACTGACTGCTCTGCGAAACATCCCTGCGGAGGTGGTCCCAAACCATTGTCGGAGGTTTTTCAACCACGAGATACACCGGCGTTCTGGTCCTCTCCTGCTAAATGCTTTACCCTGCATAACGAGTTGAAGAATTCGATATTTTTCTTCGTTCTGCATCACGTGGCCGAGGTAGTCAAGCTTACGTTGTTTCACCAATATAAGCACTTTTTTTTTTCTTTTTGCGCTGTAGGACCTCAACGTTGGTGACATGGTCCATATACGATATTTTTAGTATTCACCTGTAGAGCCACATCTCGGAAGGCTTCAATCCCCTTTTATATGGCTTGCGTCAGCGTCCAGGCTTCAACTCCATATAGTAAAACTGCAAGAATGTAGCACCTCACTATCCGCATCTTGGTTCCCAAACTGAGATTACTGCAGCACAGCAAGGATATCAACTTGATAAATCTAGACCGCGCCTAGATAAATGTAGACCGTATGATTGATCCATTTGATTTTCCAAACTTTCTATACATCCTGCAATATCATCAAATTAAAATATGGACTAAATGGACTTGTCTAGTTTCTGCTTTCCCATCTCGTGTCCGATAAAGGTAAGTTTTAATTTATCTTTGATCAATTACCAGCGTTTGCTGGAACCTGAAAATAGCAAATACATTTTTTTGGTAAAACTAAAAAATGTTTTTGATTTCACCGAAGAATTAGCGGCGCGGCGTCTACAAACAACAGATTCCAGCTATGACAACCGCAAGGTGTAAAAAATGGCCTAGTATGGCTTTAATTAAATACTCTTCTGTTGTCTCACCCCAGCAACAAATCCAATAAAGTGTTCTTTTAATGTGCTCGTTGATGTATTACAAAATCTTAAGTTCACAGACATTTGTTTTCACAATTATTATCATTACCATATAAAAAAAACTATATATGGTTTTATGGAACAAAAAACATGTAAAAAACATATAAAAAACGTGTAAAAACAATAAAACCTGTAAAAACAAAGTTCTGTTTTTTATTTTGCATATTTATTTTGCAATAATATTCCAATTTAATTTCATAACAAGTGCACATTTGCAGGAAATATTATAATTCGACATGCCTAAGACACAAGAGTCGTTCAAGACTGAACGAGGAACTTGAGAAAAACTTATATTAAATGAAAAAGTTAATGGGTTAGTTAGAATAGGGATAGAGAATAACAGGAATGTTTGTGTTAAAAAATGGAGATATAAAGAATAAAAAACCGAAACTAAATATAGGTAAAGACAATGTGAAGAGAATAATAAATTGGTTGGCGCATATTTTACCTTCTCCTTTTTATTATTATTGGGGAAATAAGTACTACTTACCATAACTGTTAACTCATTTGCATGATAATTAATGTACCAATTTTCCACGATGATCACAAATACTTTACTACAGTTAAATAGACTTTCAATATTCATTTTGTTCGCGCTCTAAAAAAAGTCAGAAAACTTAATTTTTATATATTAATTATAAATAATACCAGCAAAGTATATCGAAAGAAATCGTAATTTGAGCAGACCTTGGAATAAACCTTCCTTCTTTTGGATGGTTGGTCACATCCAAACAATGAAATTGTAATATGTGTAGGAGAGTTATTTGTTAGTAATGTAATAGAATGAATACAACGTCATTCAAGTGACAAACTTATACTAGTAACAGAGAAATCCGAACACTCTTAAAATTGTTAAATTTTAAAAATATTTTGTACAGTTATACAGAATAGCAAAATAAAATTTTTCAATATAATTGTAACAACTTACAGGGGTGAATCAATTAATGATGTGTTCAGCACATTGGTGGGCAACACGCTCTTGGATGTGTTGTCAATAGTCTCTCAAGATATTCACGACATATAGTAGTCAATATCATCCTAGGGTATCTCGTTCCATGCCCTAATTAACTCCTCTGAAGTGCTCCCAAAGTTTGAGGAGAATGCTCTAAACTAAATAAAGAAGTCTCCTTTTCATCATTTTCCACATATGTTTAATTATAGATAAATCTGGGGATCTTGGGAACAAGGGTAAAAGATCGACTCCAGACTGTTCATGTTCTAGTCCATTGCTGACTTCTACCAATATATGGGTTTTGTGCCGTCCTGCTGAAAAATTGGAGCATGTGAAGGAAGAATATAAAATAATGTTCTAGAATTTCTTCTAACTATCGCTGAGCTGCCATGTTCCCTCTGACGAAAATTAGAGGTAACTATGGCCATAAGCGGTGGCACTCCATATTTAACCCCAACAGTGCAGTACACGTGCCATTCGACAAAAAACTGTGGATTTAGTCTTTTACTACGTCATTCTTTTCCCTGGCTCAGCCATTATGCACCCTAAACATAATCGACTATACTTCTTAGATTTGGACACATTAATAATTGCTGTGTTGAATAACTTAATTTTCAGTAAAGTGTAAGTAGTAAGTGAACTTATGGCCTTCTTAAATTACGATTTTTTTCATGGCTCTGTATAAAAATATTTTTTTAATAGATCTAAAACATATGTATCAATAAATTAGGTCAAAGGATTAGAGAACATATAAACTTTATAATATTTAATTAGTTTTTGGTAGATCATAAAGAACAATTTGTTGGTCCATATAAAAAAGTAAATAACTGTTTATTTTACCTAAACATTTGTATGATAGAACAATTAACAACAATAATTAATAAAATTATAAAACACAATAAAATACCGGAAGAATGGAGACCAAGCGAACTAATAAAATTATTCAAAAAAGGATAGAAAACCAGCCAGAAAACTACAGAGGTGTAAACTTATTAAGTACTACGCTAAAAATTACAAGTTCTAATAAATCAGTTAATAAGTTTAGCAGATGAACAAAGGGACGAATAAAGCAAATTTCTAAGAAATCACTAGAGTATAATAGAAAAGTATTTCTGTTTCTGATTGACCTAAAGAAAGCGTTTGACAGAGTAAGACTAAAAAATGTAATCCATTTTCTGTATTATAGAGTTCCCCTAAATAATAAACCAAAGAAGCAAGATGAACCACATAAGAAGACCCATGTCGTCAAAATAGCAAGAGATAAGTCACCAATAGGCAGAAGAAGTATCGGACAAAAGATGGAGTGACAACCTTCCATAGAGGTATTAATTCGATAATAAACAAGCAGAATTGCTCATAAAGGGGAAGAAAAAGATTTGTATGAAATAGCTAAACCATATACAAATTAGAACCCTTTTGTATTTGTTATAATCGGAATATCTCGTGTACTTGATTTAACAATAAAATACTAAATCTTATTCTTCATTCCAATGTTTTGACATTTTTGCTTATTCCTGCTTTAAACTTTAGTTATGCACTTCTTTTCTTTCCGTTTGAAATTTACAATTTTTTTATCCACTTCATCTTTTCTACTTATACAATATTTTCATTTTGTTCTGTACTGTTTTTTATTTCTCATTGGCCGATAATAGATAGTCAATTCTTATCTTACGTCATTATTTTTCTGTCTATCATGTCGTATACTGCTTTATTTTTTTTTTTTCTTTATATAAATAAATTTTCATTTTCCCAGTCAATATGAATCAAAATGGATTTCTAAGTAAACTGAAAATGTTTCCAACTGGAAACGGACCAGTTTCAAGTGATTTTCAGTATCATACAGTGCGGTTTTTAATTGTAATGTAGAAAGAGTCTACAAACCTAATGCATCCGTATTACCAAGTAAGTCAAATAAATACTCACGCTCTGCCATAGTCTTCAAATCAACCAACAGTAAACCAAATGGTACCTTTTAATAATTATCAACAACAATACCAGTTACAGCCAACATTTTCCCAACAAACCAACTCTTTTAATTCTATATCAAACTCGCAAGCCAACTTAAACTTCAACAACAGCCCAGAAACACAGAGTAAAGATGATTCGATGTCAGATTAAGAAAATGAGTACTTTAAAAATAATAAATACCCATTGCAAACGATAAAAACAAAAGGAAAACTATTTAAACATTACGCTGCAATTTTTATAAATGGTGTGAATGACTATAGTAAAATGATAGATAACTTAGCACAAACAGTAGATGAAAAGACTTACTTTACTAAAGCCTTAACAAATAACACAATGAATATTTTTCCAAAGACACCTGAATCCTAAGGAAAACTAACACATTAAGTATGAGAAAAGAACATAATCCACCATACATATAAACCTAAGGAAGAGAGAGCCTACAGAGCAGTTATTCGAGATCTACATCACTCCTTTTCGATAGGTGAAATAAAAGCGGAAATCTAGAAAAAAGGGTCATGGTAAGGAACATTACACATGTCAGACACATATTAAGCCGTGAACCATTGCCATTATTTTTTGTGCACCTCAAGCCTCAAACAAACAACAACGAAATATTTCAACTACAGTATATACAACATTGTAAAATGAGGGTAGAATCACCGATAATAAAAAGAAATATATCACAATATACACGATGTCAAGAATATGGTCACACTAAAACGTACTGTGCAAAATTATGTAATTGCGTAAAAGGTAGCAAGAAACCAAAAAATACGCCAGCAACTTACACTTACTGCAACGGAGACCATCCTAATTAGAGAGGATGTTCTGTTTATCGTGAACTGCTAAGTGCCTGATATACAATTACAATTCCAAATTAGTCACCACTCAAAATCCTGTCAACTGTCCCAATGTAAATATACTTATCCAAAGTCATGCTCATAAGTTCAACTTCAATTAGTTATGAAGATGCTACTATTGAAACTATAAATACAGATAACAAGCCTAATGAATAAGCAGATAAACTATGAAATTTTCTAAAAAAAATTCGAAAATATGTTCTATCAACACCAAAATCAAAATTGCACGATTTTAACCATGTTGACTGCAGTCAACATGTAAACAGACATGCCATACACAGAATGGTTATTAAGATACCTTACTATATTGTGTATTAGGCAAACCATCCAAACGAAGGAGCACATGCAGGTTGTGCCTTTATTATTAAATCAAAATTAAGCACTATGCAGTCCAACCTTCTATTGTAGAAAAAAGCAACAATCATTAAACTCGAAACAAACACCTCTCTTAGTTTAGCATTAATCTACAGTCCACCTAGACTTAGACAAATTTATAGTAGCCGGAAACTGAAATGTCAAACACACCACACATGAGGTTTAGGAATAATCACACCTAAAGGTCGACAGTATTAATGAATACCATTCAACAAAATAACTTTAGATACTTATCAACTGGAGAACCCACATACTGTCCTACGAACCCCAACAAAATCCCAGATTTGGTAGATTTTGCTGTAACAAAAGGGATAGCTGACATCCATAGTGCAATAAAATCAAACTTAGATTTAACATCAGACTACTACACAATAGTAACAACTTTCAGCACACACATAATATAAAGAACACCACTACCCAAATTGACAACTGAAAAAACAAACTGGGATGTTTTCTAAAACTCTGTAAATACAAAGATTAGACTGGACTTTGGGATAAATGAACGCCAAGATGTAAAAAAGCGGTAGACTATTTAAAAACCGTTTTACAAACAAAAGGATGGGAAACAACATTACAGCGTCAAAGTAGTGTGCAAAAAAAACCATAATATCCCCCTCCATATAAGAAAACTCGTAGCAGATAAAAGAAGAGCTCGACGCATATGGCAAGATACTAGAAATTTACTAAATAAAACGTACCTTAACGGATACGTTAAGGACTAAGTAGAGCACTACATAACGAAAAATATGACTTCTTTCAGTTTTATATTTCAAACCTCTCACATGAAGACCACTCTATATGGAAAGCTACAAAAAAATTTAAATGACAGACAATTGCAAATTTAGAAAAACAGATATGACCTGGGCCTGCACAAATGCAGAAAAAACCACAGTATTCGCAGAGCATCTTGTAACTGTATTATCAACACCCGAAAGTAATAACGATGAAGATGATGCACCTTGAACCTCCATGTTAACTATCCCTTCCTTCAAAAACATTTACTCGACAGAGGTTTGATAACACGTAAAAATGTTAAATTCTACGAAAACTCCTGGCTATGATTTGATAACAGGATAATTACTCCAGAAGCTACCGACGAAAGAAGTGGTGTTATTAACAATAATATACAACAGCATACTACGTCATGGCTACTTTCCAATACAATGGAAATTTGCTCAGGTAAAACAACTATCCAAGAAAAAAAGTTTTGCACTAGAATGTTTCTCGATATTTAAGTATGACATAAAGGTCTCCTCTAAAAGCTAAAATTACACCTATGAGACCAACTTTATTTCATTCTAAAATCGTTTCTCACTGACCGTTACTTTCAAGTCAAAATTAAAGACAGCTGCTTAAATTACCACATAAACAGAGTAGCGGTCTTGGCTCAATTCTGTATCTGATATTTATAGCAGACATTCCAACCAGCAATGATACCTTCTT